CCCTGTTTTTTGTTTGTTTGTTTTGCTCATAAGCAGAGCGTGCTCGCTGCGCTGTCCTCATACAGTACGACGAAACTATTGAGGAAAAACGCCGCGTATATTGTTTATCATGACTCTGGTTTTACTGGCCGATCAACACAGTTTATAAACTGGTACATGTCACCTTGTTGCTTTGTCTTTAAGTGGTCGTGTGATTGGCTTACCACGACTACTTTATTCTTCCTCAGTCAAACAGCAGCACTCATGCGATCGTTTTGCCCCCCGAGCTCCAGGTGTTGTGCCAGACAGTGATCGTGATTACTGTCCGCGGGAGCGCAGCTGCTTAAAGCTGTAGTGTCCAGATTACTTACAGCTACTTCCATGCAACTGATATAAAATGCGGTAAGCTGAAGACAGCTTCAGCCGTCTGTTTGTTGAAAAATAGTAACGGAGCGCATTTTCTTGTTAGTAACTGTAACGGCGTTGTAACGATAGGAATAGTAATTAGTTAGATTACTCGTTACTGAAAAAAGTAACGCCGTTATTCCCATCACTGAGTCTGAGGGGAAAAAAACATCAAACTTACATTTACAAGTTACTTGTATCTGTGCTTCAAATCATTTTTTAAGTTGGGTCATGACGAGAATACGATTTCTATCCTCATCTCTGACCAATGAGACTGATCTTGTAATATAACTACTGTATACTGTACATTATGTTTTGTATAAAGAGCATTACCCTGCAAGGTAACTGCAGCAGCTAAATATAATGAAGTGGAATAAGTGGTAAAATATTACCCACTGAAAAATAAATATCATGTATACTACAGGGTGTTTTACAGATCCTAGCTGCACAGAGTGTCCTGTGTTCACTCCATCTGCACTGGTAGTGAAGTACGGCGACCCAGCCAGTGTTACATGTGATGTATGTCAGAAGGACTGCACTGGAGATGTTTTTGGTTTGGACCACGCTGTGGGAAAAGATACAAAAAATGGAACCACGATGTTCTGGACGGTTGACAGACTGACTGAATGGGACCCATTTGTCATGTGCTATTATTTTAATGATGCTGGTGATCCATGTACTCACATTCTGGATATAACCATCTATCGTAAGTATGCTTACTTTAGAACATCAGACTTTTACTGAATTTTGCATCATTTATAACCAGAATCTGATCTCTTTGTATTTGTCTGTGAAGGTTCTCAGTCATCCAGGTCATCGTAGTCAAAGGAGCTTGCAAAGAAAAGCGTCTGGACTTCTTTAAGTTGCTTGAAGACTTTTCACCTCTCATCCGAGAAGCTTCTTCAGTTCTAAGGTCAAATGGTGGAGAGTCCCAGATATAAACCTAGTGGGA